ACTAATATGCTCTTCAGAATACTGGAAAGCATCTGTCCTACAACTATTGCATTGATTTTGCCCAAATCTCAATTATAGCATATGTGTAGGCTGTAAAGATGGAAATAATACTAAAGGTTTTTTTGAATCCAGTTACGTTAGTTATTTTTCTCTGCACGTAAAGCAATCTATCCCCATCATAACGGAACAGGAAATGAAACAGGGCTGGGTAGGGAATATATTTGCCATGTTATAGTTTGGTAATACACTATTATACTTCCATCATTTATTGAGTTCTGAATCATGAATAAAAACATGTCAGGGGCACCAAAACATAACGCTTTTTAAGACAAAAATACATTCAAGGTTCCAGGTATTTTATGGCAAAATGCAGCTATAAAAGTGAAACTTCACCTAGAAAACAGGATTCACTATTAAAAAAAAAAAAAAGAGACAGAAAACAGAATAGGTAGGTATTTTACATATACATCTTTCTTCGCTATATTCATGGTACAATCCTGATCTTCAGTGAGACTGCAAGTACCTACAACTTACTGCAATAAATTAATAGTTAACTATATTTTGAGTATTTCAAAGTAATAATTAAATTGCCTGGAAAAGTTCTATTATGCTTGTCTTCAAAAAAATAGTATTACTCACATTTATTTTACCAAAACATAAGAAAGTAAATGCCTACCATATAAAATATTACTAAGACTTCCTGTGGGTCTATAAGAACCTCATTACTTAGTTGAAGTATTTTGCTTCCAAATTTCCCAACACTTTCAGGCTTGCTACCACAATCTTTATTTTCTCCTCATATCACCTGCATGAATTGTGAATTTGCAATACATGATTACCCACCTCATTAGCTATGTTCATATCAAACAATGACCTCACTGGACATAACCAAGATACATAAAAATGCTAAAATGGCAGTTTGCATAGAACAGTTGATTCTTCTCAAATGCGTTAGCATGGAAACCTTGTAGAAGTTTCAGAGGGGAGAAGAAAAAAACCTTATTTTTTATCATCCAGATGTAATGTAAGGTTACACCTAAAACCAGAACTAAAAGTACTCCCCCACAGCATTCTCCTGGAGAAATTGGCTGCTCGTGGCTTAGACAGGTGTATTCTTCGCTGGGTAAAAAACTGGCTGGACAGCCAGGCCTGAAGAGTTGTGGTGAATGGAGTTAAATCCAGGTGGTGGCCAGTCACAAGTGGTGTTCCCAAAGGCTCAGTATGGGGGCCGGTCTTGTTCAAGATCTTTACCAATGATCTGGACAAGAGGACTGAGCGCTCCCTCAGTGAGTTTGCAGATGACACCAAACTGGGGAGGAGTGTTGATCTTCTTGAGGGTAGAAAGGATCCACAGAGGGATCTGGACAGGTTAGATCTATCTATGAGGTTCAACAAGGTTAGGTGCTGGGTCCTGCACCTGGGTCACACCACATCAGAAATAGTGTGGCCAGCAGGACTAGGGAAGTGATGTTGCCCCTGTACGCAGCACTGGTGAGGCCGCACCTTGAATACTCTGTTCAGTTTTGAGCCCCTCTCTACAAGACAGACATTGAGATGCTGGAGCGTGTCCAAAGAAGAGCAACAAAGCTGGGGAAGGGCCTAGAGCACAAGGCTTATGAGGAGCAGCTGAGGGAAACTGGGTTCTTTAGCCTTGCAGAAAAGGAGGCTCAGGGGAGACCTGCTCGCTCTCTACAAGGCCGCACCTTGAATACTCTGTTCAGTTTTGAGCCCCTCTCTACAAGACAGACATTGAGATGCTGGAGCGTGTCCAAAGAAGAGCAACAAAGCTGGGGAAGGGCCTAGAGCACAAGGCTTATGAGGAGCAGCTGAGGGAAACTGGGTTCTTTAGCCTTGCAGAAAAGGAGGCTCAGGGGAGACCTGCTCGCTCTCTACAACTACCTGAAAGGAGGCTGCCGCGAGGAGGGTGTCGGTCTCTTCTCCCACAGAGCGAGCGACAGGACAAGAGGGAATGGTCTCAAGTTGTGCCAGGGGAGGTTTAGATTGGATATTGGGAAAAACTGCATCAGAGAAAGGCTTCTCGAGCATTGGAACAGGCTGCCCAGGGAAGGGCTTGAGTCACCATCCCTGGAGGTATCTAAAAGACCTGCAGGCGTGGTGCTTAGGGACATGGTTTAGTGGTGGACTTGGCAGTGTCAGGGTCACTGTTGGACTCGATCTTAAGGGTGTTTTCCAACCTAAGTAATTCTATGATTCTGCTTTCTTCTGGCATCTGTAAAGAACTCGCCAGTATACACAGAGCGAGCTGTGGCACAGAAGAGACAATATAGCTTTTATAAAAAGAAGTGGTACATCAAACTCATAAGAGCTGTCTGCAGAACAGCTATGCAGAAGGTAACTCAGCTAACAGAGTGCAGATGGATTTTCACATAGCTGTCAAGAAGGGGTCTTACAGGAAGGAAAGTACCATAAAGATAAAGGCATGGAGGAATAGACACCATCCTGGTCAGTGGACTCTAAATCCACCATCACTGCACAAGAAACGGGTTGTTACAGTGGACAGTCTCATGAATATATTAGGTCAATTTTCAGGAAGCAACAATGGAACAAAGAAATAGATTATTGATAACTATGGAAGTAACAGATGACACAATAAAACCAAACAGAATTATGCCACTATAAACATATTCTGCATCTGGGCTGTTATGGCTTCCTCAACTCAAAAGCAGTACAACAGAAAGGCAGTGAAAGGGGGAACAAGAATAATAAAAATTGTGGAACCATGTGTATACAAGAAAGAATTAGACTGGCACTCTTACCTGAGGCATGGTGGGGACGGGGTAAAGATAGCAGAGAAGAGGCACAGAAGAGATCCATAAAACGAAGACTGGCAGTGAAGAAGATAAGAAATGATGGGTCACGTCTCTAACACAAGGTCTAGCAAGCATCAAGTTATCAGGCAGCCAGTCCAACACAAGAGTTTCACATAGTTAAGCATTACTACAAAACACTATAGAAGCCAAAGGTCTATGTGGGTTCAAAAAAACCAACCAGATAAAGCTGTAGGAAAACAGAGTAAAGATACCATCTGCCTCAGCTGGCCCTAAACTGTAAGACTGATGACATCTAGGTAGTTCATACTGAAGGAGGTATCACTGCATGTTTGTCCTGTACTTACTTTCTTCTCAGGCGTCCACAAATGGATGAGTGTCAGACATGAGTCTTTGGTCTGACTTACTGAAGTCATTCACAGATTACATTAGAAACCAAGTCTGCAGAGTCAACAGAACATGATTTGGGAAACTGCTGGTTCTTTAAGTTTTGTTGAAGGGAGAAGTTTTCTTGCTCACCAGTGTGTTTTTAATTACTCTCATAAACTCTGGACTATCCACACTCCCAGACATTTACAATGAAGTTTTTGTATTAGTGCTTCACTGACAAGAACTGGAAATGATCCAAATCCTCTTGTAAGACTTGGAGAGACAACTACCAACTGAAGAGAATTCATACTATAAATCATTCTTAAAATTTAAAAGTAATCTGCAATAAAGATTGTTTTCTGCCTTTACTGAGACTAACATTTCAGTGTCTGTTAAGCTTTTATGAAAGCTGATCATGCACAACAGTGACTTGAGTATTTAGCATAATGCACTCTACAGGTCTTGGCTCTAGAGACACTGCGAAGACCAATTTCAGCTGAAGGCACTGCTACTCAGCTTTTCTGAAAAGTACTTCTGGAATAGACATCTTCAGATATCTGTTGATGTTATAAATGTTCAATGGTCACCCAGGGCCAGTACTGTGGTTTTTTAAATATATATGCTACGGAGTACTGAAGTTTAAATCTTTAATTCGCTCATAATTTCAAACTACTCAAATACTGGGACAAAAAAAAAAGTGATTTCTAACTGTGAATTATTTGAGAATAGTTTAAGAAACAAAAACAGAAGAAAAAAGCTTTCCAACCTTTAATAAAGTTGCTCTAATTTTAAGTTCTACACACCACTAAAATATAAACCAAAACAGAGTAATACTCTGAAGCCTAGCAGTGTTTGTAGCTACAAGTGGAAACTATTCAGAAATCAATATTCTGCATAGCACAATAGACCTCCAGTTCCCTTACACTGCTCCAATACAAAACTAGCCAGCCAAAGAAAAACCCTCTGCAACAAAATAGATTTAAATTCTGCAGAACATTAGGAATACCCTGTAATCCTAAACTTTCCAATTTTGCCTATTTCTTAATTCTTAAATACAAAAGCAGACACAAAAAGCAGCAGAAGCTTAACATTTTTTTGACAGCAATTTGAGATAGCTAATTCACACAAATTTTAGAAAAGGACATTAAGCTAGAAACATCTGTTAAAAATAGCCAGTGATATAACAACAATGTTAATGCCCTAATATCACTATCTGTTTTCAAGGACAGCAGCAAAGTGAGTTGAGCAGTGTAGTTTGCTCGTACTTCCCAGAACAACTGTTTCACACTCAGGCAACATGTAGATCCATTAATTTGAAATTCATTCAAGTAAACAATTCACACAAGAATAACAGTACTTTTTTAAATCCCAGAAAAACTTTAGACTACTAAAAACTAGAGTGCAGTTTTCTAACAAGAGGTGGGCCACATAGTCCTCCGAGACCACAGGCTTCAGCAGACATAAGGTTCTAATTAGTGTGATCTGCAAATAAAATCTTCAATCTTTAACACAAGTTAAAGGTAATACTTATGTTCTAACGTAATTTTTAGATGACTGCCTTGGAGAGTGGCGAGTACATAGCATGAGATTAATTACTGAAAAGATATTCCTGGAACCTTTAACAAAATCCCAGCCACAACCTAGAAATCAGTGATTGCATAACAAATCAATATTTACAAGTTAACATAAAATTATTTAAAGTCCAACAACAGCAACAAGATGCCTACCAAGATACTATAATTAGCTCAGCTTTACAACATGTTCTACTTCAGCTGCTAGGAGAGAGAAAAAGGTGTCTTTTACTCTTTGGTCTTAAGAATAAGGAAGTTATATTTCACTTACCAGTTCCTATATAGGATTTAAAGCGTCCTGATAGTCTGTCAACAAAGGCACCTAAAACATCTAATCCCAGTAATGCTACCTGTTGAAACAAAAGCATTAGATATACAAAACAGATCACTAAAGAATTCTTTAGAATATATTTTCAAGAAGTTATACATATATATGCAAGCATGCTGAAAGACTGCGTCTTAACCTAAAGATAATTTAAAGTTCCAATTAGAGATGTTATAATTCCTTGAAAGCTATCATTAAGACAAAGTTATCAGAACGTTTGGAACAGATCAAGTATATTCACATATGCCAGAGCAGTTCAGATTTTTCAGTACTTGTTTTAAAACAGAAAGAAAATACATATTAGAAATCCAATGTTTTAGTATTTTCAACTACAAATGATTAAAATTCAAATTAATAATTATGAGGACTAAGGAATTGGAAGAAGCTTCCCCCCACCCCCGGATTGTTATATTAGATCTGCGGTTCTGTCCATCATTTTCTTTAGAAGATTACTCTAGAGGTCTGACTCAGTATTAATTGAAAGTCAAAATTCTTTTGAAGCAGGTACCAGTAAGGCCTTATATAAGCCTTATGTCCTCTACCAGGTTTCTAAGCTGCTGCAAGAAACAAAACAGAATGCCTTAACAACAAGAAAAAAAGGCGGGGGGCATGGGAGGGGGTGTGTATGTCTGCAGTTACCAGATTCGGAAGAAGCAAACTTAAAATGTAAAACTAAGCCCTCAATCATAAGTACTAATACAGACTGGAAAAAAACCCATGGTTTAAACAGTCTCCCAGATGCTAAGAGCTTACTTCAGTCGGGCTACTTAGCTCATCCACTAAGGTCACTACATCATCTTCCAAACTCCCAAAAGAAAACAACTGAGAGAAGCTAATACTGTCTTCCCTAGCAGTTCACACCACACCATTCGTCCACCTGCTCATTAAGCTAGGGAATATTTATTTCTCTTCACTTGCTCTTGTTAAAAAAAAAAAAAAACACACAAAAAACCAGAAAACAATAGGAAGTCCAAAATACTACTGTGATTGTGAGGAAATTTCCATCTATGAACAGCAACTAGGTGAGAGGATATCCGCTAATGTAGAAACAAAAACATGATCAGAAATGGTCAGTTACACAATTATTTTAACTCGTCAGGACACTTTTTTTTGCCCTTAACTATCCCAAGACATCAATAGTACAGCAGAACCTGCGTTTTCACAGCTTGTGGTGAACTCAGTTTGCTGCCTCTGAAGTGCAAATGCCAAAGGACGGACCTCCTGAAGCTTGGGCATTCGTAACAGTTTTTCCTCCTCTTCATTTTCTAGTAAGACATGCACTCCAAATTTGTCCCCGCAAAGACATGAGCAGAATTACTCCCCTGTATTAGCTTTTATTTTCATAAAAGTTGGAACCACATTTTCTTGGACAACTCTGTTTCCTTAAGATCCTTATCTGTCACAATTGTGCACACTAGACAACAGGCCAAAAAAATGTGACTGGAGTTGAATGTGGATACACATGGCCCACGCACACAGGATCACGTGAGCCTTGTTTCCACAGGAAACTAAATAAGGTCCCTATAAAATCTAGAATCTGAAGCAACTGCATAATTAAGCAGATTTTAATAAATTCAGTATTAGTACAATAGGTCTCCTTTTAAACAGGAGGTATAAAACTTAGTTCCAAGTTAGTACAACTTATTTGGAAACTTAAACAATTTTATTACATCATAAAACAGAGAATAGCAAATATAAGTGGATAGCATCACTGTCTTAAATTAATATATTGCCAACAAGTGACTGCATCTACAACTTAGGATGAGAGAACAGAATACTGTAATTGGTAACGTACTTAGGAAAAAAAAAACAACAAAAAACAAACAAAAAAAACTAAGTCAGCTTTCAGGATAATGTCAAGGCTTCCCAAAAACTCATTTCTTTAACATTCTTTTCCAGATTGTCAAACTATATGATACCCAAGACAAAATCTCAGTCTAAAAAGTGGTGCCTGAGAGAAATAAGAAATTCATTCTGGATATACATTGTTTTCCTGTGCTTATGTTTCCTGACTACAAGCCCCACCTTAGACTTGTCTTCTTTAAGATACCTTTCCTGTGCAAGTATTTGGGGGTCTATTAATGCAGAAACCGCAGCCCTTCCTTCTCTGAACTTACAGAGAGTCTCTCTCTTCTCCGCACTTTTTATTATCTTTCTAAAGATAATAAAGTCTTCTTTCTCGAAGACCTCTACCATCCTGAACAACAGCAGCTCAGAGATTTAGAATTTACTACGGATGTACTCTTTACTAATCCCGAAGAAGAGTTCTGAGTAAGATGGAGAGCATTTCTTGATTCCTCCAGTGATTAGCCTCTAGGATTTGGAGTGGGTTTTGTGGGATGTTTTTGTCTTTTTTTTTTTGGTTGGTTGGTTTTTGGGGGCGAGGGGAGAATTATTTGTTTTTAAAGTCTCACCTGGGTAAGAACAGTGCCCATATGGCATATTTGAACCTCCATACACCTAAGGGTCAGAGGCTCGATAACTACCAGAGAAATGGCTATTCATCCTATCATGACTGTTATTGCCAAAGAATCTGATAACTTGTATTCCATTTGTGTAAGAATATTTTATTTTGGTCATGAGCATCCACTGAGATAATGCTGGCATATTCCATATTTTTCTACTCTTCCCTGTGAATGAGTAAAGTTCAATCATCTCTTAGGATTTAAGTCACATTTATCTTCATTAACCATTCAAGCAGTTGTCAATACGGTGTTGGCTCTTTAACTGCCTACCAAAGATTTGCTTAATGATTGCCATAGGGGTTCTACTTCCATAATTGCTGTGCCAAAGCCACTTCAGTAAATACTATAAATTTAAATATCCTGATGAGTAGTTTTGCCTTGTGATGTCCTTATTGTATGAAAATACATAGTTCAGATTGCACGGGATGAAATAAAGCTTTCAAAAGTTACCTTTCTAAGTCAAGAGTAACATATGAGACTAACTCTGGCTTCAAGAAATGCAAAAGTAGCAAACACTCCTGTGAAAGTCTCATCTCTAACAGCTACTGAAGAAGAACCTTTTACGGATAAGAGGTAAGGGAGTAGGTTACTACAGTCTTAAAGGAGCAATCCTCTACCTACAACCTGACAGTTACTCTTTAGCTCATACAAAGTTCTCCATGGTGTCCAACTTTGAAAAGGTAACAGATATGAAATGTCACAGTATCTGCAGAATGAGAAAGTATGATGTGAGCTCAGGCTGGAAGCAATGGGAAACTGCTGTAGCTACAAAACTGGCTCTCATGCCACGTTTCAGAACAAGTCAGCTGAAGCATACCACTACAGAGTATACCAAATAAACTACCTCGTACTGTTTTGTAAATCGGTCTTGACATTTCTCTGCTTTGATACACAATGTTCCAAGTTGCAGCATTTCCTGGTAGGTATCATTCCCGCAGTATTCAAGCAGCCCTTTGGAGGGAGACCTTAACAACTCATATGGCGTCACATGAGCAGCATTAAAAAAAATAAATCACAAGTCAAGGCAGAACTGATCTGCAAGAAAAAGCTTCCAAGCTCTCAGACACTGTGTGGGACCATGTACAAACACAGGCTCTCCACTATCAACAGAAAAACCTCTCACCAATATCATGGCTCTTTCCCCACCAGCTTCAATGAGGGATGTATTTTTGCTGGGATTAAAATCACTGGATCTGTTTCTTACTCTGCATTCAATAAGCTTTTTGCCTGTTACCTAGAAAGAGCCTTTGTACGTTGAGACTGATGCATCAGCTCACTATTGTTTGGTGCATTTCAACACTGCTTTTGAGGTTCACAGTGGAAAAGAAATTCAGGCTTATTTGAACTGGAGTTGGCTAGTTGTTGAGCTACTCTAACAAGCCAGCGTTCAGGACTGTCCTTGATTTCTCAGGTCACAACAAAACTGCCAACCCAACTGAGAAATATTTTATCTGTTCTGGAAAGGACCAGACTCTTTAGTGAAGTCAAGATGTTCCAACCAAAATGCAATTATGAATTGAGCCAGTGATTATGAATGGAGCCTATTTCTTGCTCTGCAGCTTGTTC